TTGTATCGCGGGATCAGGATTGACTGTTTGCTTGCTCGCAATTGAGGAGAGGACCGCAAGTGCACGCATTTTTCATTCCTACTTTCTACCCGTAGATATCTATTGCTGAATCTGCACACTTTTTAACAATGACTCACTAAGAGGCGGATCAGACAATAGAATTCAACAATGGGTGAAAAAACGGGAAATTGACAACAAGAACGGACTGTTGTGGCAGCGTTCAACGTTGTTGATTCTCAACGATGTACGTTGCATCAAAAATGAGGGCTCGTTTGGGTCTCATAAACACATAGAAGTCGGTTCTATCTGCCACACTTCAATCATTTAAACTCAACAATCTACATCTTCAAGTTCACTTTCTGCAGTTTTCTTCACCTGTTCTGACCACTTCTGCCAACTACCCAAGCATAACCATGTCCCCACGTAACGCATGCGGCTGGCCAGAATGGGAGGAGAAAAGCCTTCTTCCATGGTTGGATGCCCATCCGGAGCTGTCGTGGAAAGCTCTCTCCGACGCATATTATGAAGAATACCAGGTGCATCGAAGCGTTGAATCTTTACGAGGGAAAAAGTACCATATTCTGCGGAAGCAGAGTCGCACTGGCGCCAAAGCTCCCCAAAAGCCAGGCAAACCAAAGCGAGCCGTTGCCGTACGACGCTCCGTGGCCGATAGCGCTTCACAGTCGAGTCTTTCAGCCAAGACCCCTGCCCAAAGAAACATCGACAAATGGTTTCAAACAATTCTAGCTGCCGACCCTAACCAGCCTGATGACAGCAAAAAGCCAACTCAAACGAACCCAATTTCAGGTACGAAACATTTAATCGTCTCATATTACATGCTGGCCCTTTGTCACAGACCGCTTGACGCCAGCACCGCTTCCGTGACGGCCTAAAAGAACACGGTCGTCGTCCTGGAGGTGGGACTATGTGCATCGCGTCTGTGCCTCCAGGAAGCTGAGATACGGGCAAACAGAACGTCCACTTTAGCAGCATTTCATTGGCTGGAGCACTATATTGCGATGTCGCAGGAACATTGGCCAACCACCCCGATACGCTAGTCCTAGTATATGTTACTATAATAAAGGCTGTGATCCAGCAATCAACCCTCAGCGTGAGAAATATAATCGAGGTTGCATACAGTTCCATGTATTCCGTATAGAAAGGAGCAATTGCCCTTCTTTGGAATGGCAATAATAGTGAGGAACTCCCAAGGTCAAAGATGAGGATGCGAGCACAATTGTGGTAACCTCGGGAAGGGCCGCTTAGATATTTTTTTATCTTTACATTATTATGTTAAACCAGGAGCATTTCATCGGAGTCTCATGCGGCCCGCAAAATACTGCGGACAGTGTAGAAGAATCCACAGTACTATGAGTGTTCTCGTTCAATTCTGACCAGATACTGCAAGCACATTGTTCGTGGGTCTTGCAAATACTTTGGAAATGTAACCGTCACCACGAAATATGGAGAAAATTCTGATTTACGTTGTTTGCATGCAGCCGTTAGATTTGTCATGCCCAGCAAATAGAGGCAGAACTTGCCTGCTGAAACTCTCTATCCATCGACTTAGCTGTTCACTGCGGTAAGCATACGCATAAATGTTTTTCGTTTCGGCAACTCGCTAACACACCGACCACAGGTGTCATGCATGTATGAAGGTTTTGCAACAACAGAACAATGGCAGTTCCAATGCTACTTCCCGGTCCAGACAGATGCCAACTGTTTTTTTTGCTAGCCTGGATCAATTTCCCGCTTGCTGTTATCGGTGGTTTTGTTACATGTTCGATTTCTCAGAGCATCGGTAATGGGATCGCTTGGGTTTTGAGTTGGCTGCTTTTATTGATGTTTGTAGCCAGCAGAGTGGAATAACGCTCTTTCCCCTTCCCGCCGCACAGTAAGATGCATAACAACAAGAGCGCTTGAGGAAATACATCGCACAAATCTGCAGAAAGTCGTGTCCCTGTCGCATTCTTTAAGCAGCAGATGGAACTTCGAGGAAAAATTGCTCTATCACACGTCATCTAGTCCTCCGACACTCAGACTCTGGATGTGAAAGGCCACACTGAGCGCCACTACAATACTACCAACGACCAAGCTCAGGTGCAGGATGAAGAATACGAGTAGAGCAATACTAAACCTCACCCACCGCTTCTGGGTTAGTACTCTATTGCTTATATATTTTGTTGCATCCTTAAAGGAAGGGTCGCCTCTGTTTTGGTAGATTTTTTTCCGATATATCAAAATTACATGAGAATTGTATCTAAATAATACGTTTTATATATGTTGAGATTCATGGCTTCTCCAGGCATGGAATGCCTGCTTCACCAAGCATGAATCTCGTGATCAGCATTGAACCTACCATGTAGAGTATAGTTCATGAGAAATGTTTCTCATTAAATAGGATCTCTCTCTCATGAGAGAGAGATCAGACCTAAACCACCTCGTTGGCCTTGACATACGTGGTTACGTAGCGTCATTCATCGTGTAATTTCAACAATATATTTAACCGAAATCTCCTAGTAAAGCAGACATAACCACAGAGAATATAATGATTATAACGTATTTCACAAGCGAGCCGCCACCACAAGCGAGCCGCCACCCTACCTATATCTATTTATTTTAAATGTATTTTTCTCAACCAAAACGCCATTAAATTCAATAAGCTAAACTCGAGGTCTATTAGGACATGTAGTCATTCTATGACCCTGAATTCCACATACACTACACTTCGTTTTTGCCCTCGTACGCGGCTGAGAAGGTGCTGGAGCTGGCCCTGCCTCACGGGATACTTGTGCTGAAACCGCTTGCTCTGGCTGCGCTACTAAGGTAGAGGCCTCTAAAACTGAGAGGCCTTCTTCGGAAGCTATTTGCTTTTTAGACCGAGTCCTTTTTCGCTTCTTCGTCTCGTTTGCAGCGCGTAATTCGCTTACTTCTTTCTCGAGCAAAGCTGCCGATTGCATCGTAATTTGGCAGGCCTTTAAAACCTGATTTATCGCGGAATTAAGCGGGCTCGGTGGGCTTCGTGAGCGCTGTTTTAGCAAAGCTTTAATTGAGGAAGCTTGCTTCTGTAATTGTACGTAGTTCGAAGGTGTTTTTGGATCCCACTCGCTCCCCCGGCTCGAGGGGGGTGTCGGGGTTCGAAGGCGAATATCGAGCTTTAAGATCACTCGATCAGGATTATAAGGCATTAAACCGGCGGCGGCGAAGCTATTCTTAATAGTCTCCGATTTAAATGCCTCAATTCGCGCGGACGGGTAGGCTTCGAGGAAGTCTAGCTTATCAATGTGGTTGATTCTAGCACGCGTTTTCGATTCGATAAGCCGAGCGTAAGCACGCTTTAACACCGCAAAACAGCCGATATCGAGAGGCTGTAAAAGGTGAGACGAATGCGGAGGCATACAAATTGGAATAATATCGTTTTTTGCGTAAATTTCGTCGAATTTCGGGGTTAAATGACTTCCGTGGCCGTCGAGTATCAAAAGTCTATACTTCCCCTTCGTACGCGAAGAAGTAGACGGAATAAAGAGCTTTTCGAGCCACCGAACGCTAATTTCATCGGACGTCCACCCGTTCGGACTAACCTCGAGTCTCCAATCATTCGGAAGGCCGTCGAACCAAGATTCGATAAAGACTTTGCCCTTAAAAATCACGCACGGAGGAAGCGCCCACCCCGAGGCATTTATACACTCAATTGTAGTAACCCACGCGCGATTTCCGGGCTGTAAAAGCGATCGCCGACCGTAGTATTCCCTCCTCGTAATAACCTTCGCGGTTGCGATTAAGCCCATTGCGAATCCGGTCTCGTCAAAGTTATAGATATCATCGGGATCGATACCGTAAGAAAGGATCGATTTTTGGACGAGAGAAAACCATTCATAGATAATTTTAGGGTCTTCGCACTTTGCACGCTCGTAATTGTATCCTTTTGAGAATCGGGAGGAAAGGTTTGGATGCCTTTTTACGAAGTTTGTAACCCAATTCTCACCGACCGAAATAACCGGGGTAGATCCACGCGTCGCGAGCAATAAATCTGCCATTTCTCGTACAGAAGAAGGCCGAGGGGGTGCTCCGCGAGAATCCATAGAGAGAATCCATTTTTGAAGAGATTCCTTCTCAATTTCAGTCAATTTATGTGAATTTGCGCGTAAAGTAGCTCGTTCTGCATAGCCAGAGAGGCGGTCGCGTAGAGTTGAACGCGGTACTTCAAAAGCCCGAGCAGCGTGAGCAACAGAGCTTATTTCTTTGTTCTTAATAGCCTGGATAGCTAATAAGATCCTACCTCCTGCTCTGTACGATTTCGGGGCGATTGGGTACGAATTGGTGGCATGGTAGGTGGTTGAATAAATTAAATGCTAATTTTCGACGCGTTTTTAGGTAGGGTGGCGGCTCGCTTGTGGTGGCGGCTCGCTTGTGAAATACGTTAGTTAAATAGTGAGAAATAGGGGTAATGGAAATACAGAGTCATTTACATCTCCAATTGGCCGGATACAGGACAAATCGTGACATACCCTTTGGGGAGATGGTCAAACCGTTCTAGTTGGAGAAACGGAGGGTTAATTGAATAGGATTGGCTAAGAAATAGCACGTTCTCCGCCTATATCCAAGGTCCGTGCAGTTCCTAACGTCCTCGTATTCCCAGGTTTGTGGCAGGAAATTTTTCAGCCTGCTCCGAAGACAACGGTGTGAGTAGTCCGCTCCATTCTGAGCCCTCGGGCCAGACCACAGAAAATAGATGCTCCCCAGCCGATAGTACTGGATAGTACTGCTCGCTTCAGAGTCTACGGTGGGAGTACACAAATTAGCAAATCACTAGGGCCAATTTACTATCATGCAAGACTTAAATTCACCACCCGATGGTATTCGCTAGAAAGAGTCAATTCCAGTAAGCTGGGTCGGAAGGCGCGACCCTTCTCCTTTCTCCTCTAGAGAGAAATACCCGATCTGGCCAGAGATCTTCGGTTGGAGATGCGGGAGAGACTCTCGTAGAATTCCTGGATGCTTTAGCTGGGGCCTTCTTTACTTCTGGCTTCACTGCTGGCTTCACTGCTGGCTTCACTGCTGGCTTCACTGCTGGCTTCGCTGCTGGCCTCACTGCTGGCCTCACTGCTGGCCTCACTGCTGGCCTCACTGCTGGCCTCACTGCTGGCCTCACTGCTGGCTTCGCTGGTGTAAGATGCTGCTCCTCGAATCTGTCCGGGTGATGTTTGCGGAGCAATTCTCGCAGTAATCCCAACGGTCTCTTATTCCAATATAGCTCCGCAAACCACAGGATGGGCGCAGTGCCTATGAACGGGTCTGCACCGTTCTCAACGAGTAGACGAACAACTTTGCCGTGGCCATGGATAACAGCTTTGTGCAGAGCGGTTTGGCCGACGCTGTCGAGCTTGTTCGGATCTATTCTATGCTGCAGGAGCAGAAGAACGACATCTGCATGGCCATTCGAGGCTGCTGCACGCAAGGACTCTTCTCCCTCTGGAGATGCTCCGCGTTGTCGGAGAATTTCTGTCACGGCGACTATATCGCCTTGGCGAGAAGCTTCAACTAGCGTTTTCTGTCTCTGTGCAACTTTTGGGTTTTGCTGGAGTGCGTTGTTGGTGGGTGAAGATTGAGTCTCACTCTTTTGCTTGCTTTTATTTCTTCTTAGTTTGGAGAAGACTTTTCTCAGCCGAGTGGATATGGGCATACTCGAAGTGCTGTAAGTGTATGGCGGATGGAGCGGAGAATTGAGGAGCTTCCAGATTAATATACGCTCTTTCCTTCTTCCCTTCTCGATCCGATGGTGTGGTTGTGCCGCTCGTATTTGGCTGGACTTCTGATCTCTACTAACTCAGAATAGACAAGTGTCTTGCGCCTCCTCGTATTGCATTCCATTCATGTAGATAAGAAACAAAGACTTTTTAGCGTTGTTACTTGTCTTTTGATCAATAAAGATGGCATAGGTTCCGTTCATCTGTCTGTTCAGTCAAAACTCTGCTGATCGGGTGGATATTCCCCCCACCTTTCCAATCATGCTTCTGATGCGAGATGCCATCGACACGTTTCTAAGTGCAATAAGCTTTTTAATAGAGTCGATTTATGGCATTGCCGTCGGCTTCCCAGCATACTTTATTGTCAATCCCATTCTCCATTTTCTGGCTCTCCCATATACTCTTAAATACTTCTCCTCCAACTGGTCTTTACTCTGTTTCGAAACGCAGCCTGGCGAGCTATATCTTCATCATTTCGAAAGACTCCATCCCGACCTGATAGAACACGTGCGTGCCGCGTATGCTGCAAGAACAAACAAGCGCCCACCAAGGAAGCTCAAGTTTTGGCCCCGCGAAACGAGTCACATCATTCTACCTCTGGTAGTCGCCATTCGCGAGTGGAAGTTCTCTTGCGCCACCGGTCTCTTTGCGTTATTAGAGGACTGTGGATGGGACCGAACGCTCCTGTGGACATTCCTCCGAGATCAAGTGGAAAATGCAGGCTTGGTGTCAGCCGAGGAGAAAGTGGCCTTCGCGCGCGTCATGGAGGTGGCATGTTCAAATCGATTTAAGGGAATTCGACCTGCATGGGTACGCTCACTACAGTTTTTACGCAAGTGGACGGGCGAGACGGAACGGAGCTCAAAGATGCAACAGGCTCAGATTGAAAAGTTGAAGGAAAAGTTTGATTCTCTGGGAGTTCCTGTTATTGCAGTGTCTGGGAACTGTATCGATTGGGTATTACAACGGAATGCTGTCCTCGTCTTGGACCAGAATATTCGGGATGCATCGTATAGGATGAAAAACTTTCAACCGATTTGGATAAATGTGAAGAATAGTCAGGATCCGGAGAAGATTTCAAAAAGCTACTGGCAGCAGGTTTCCTTTGGCTGAGAGAAATAATCGAAATTCCAATTGACTCGATTGCCTCGGCGGGGCGGTTCATAGAGCCGCAAAAGCGCAACCGTATCCTTAGTTACCTGGATGCGTCGAGAAAGTAGCTTATCTTCGTCAAAGTTCTCTGCATCGGAACCGTAAAAGACTTCCACAAGGCGTGCTCGTGCAGAAAATACATACTTCGGGGTGGTAAGCTCCCAGTCTTCATCGGTAGAACTATCAGCATCACGTCCTTCAACGTCAGATTTTGCCGAGAAGTTGCTTGATTTGTATTTTGACTTCAGACACAGGCGGATTCTGAAAATGGTCCTTTCTGGCTGCACGGGTATAGTACGGAACTATAGACAAGGGGCAATTCAGCCGTCATGATTCATAAACTTCAATTTATTGGTGACCTCACACAGTCAAGAGGGACAAGAAGAGGATAGTTTAGCCATAACGGGTCACCTGTCACTACGGTGGTACACAGAGGGCTTCAAGCATCAGAGGCGTCACAGTTCGTTTGCGACCTACTTGAGGTTAAGGGGCGTACATGCTTCCAACTTGTCACAAGTTTCTACGGATATTGATGATGGTCAGCTTGTTACATTCAGCCTGTTCCGCTATTTCAGATATGGTAAAGGACTGGCTCACTATCATATCACGAATGGGAACGAGCTTTGTAGGAGACAGTCTTGGAGCCATGCCGCGTTGATGTGATAGGGGGCCAGGCTGGTACAATGTGTCCGGAAATTTGTTGCGTGACAAAGGCGGGATGGAGGGGGGCCATTGAGGTAGCGTGTGTATGAGCAGTTTCGTGTAAATTACATCGCTTGCGGTCCGATGTGTTATTTTGAACTACACTAACTATTTTAGAAAGCGGGTCTGAAATGAGACCTGGAAGATCTGATCCAATCAGAGCTCACATATTGCGGATTTATTTTCCGGGAATGATGTCGCAAGAGTTTGGAGGTACCCGTCGCATAACTGATTTCGAAAACTACTGTATGGTCGGAGCACAATGGAGAGTCTGGATTAGCTATGTTAAATCGACGGCTAGATCCCACAACGTTTGGAGATATCTCGAGCCGGATGAAGCTATAGTTCCTGAAGAGCCACAACTCCCTAGTCGCTTCCCAGAACCCGCCGATCTTGATCCAGATGCAATGGATGCGACAGACCTAAGTGATGAGCTATTCGTGAAGTATGATAGACTCTGTAGCTAATTCGACAAGAAGAGAGCTTTGGTAGCAGCTACCCAGAAGGCTCTAGCGCGTATCGACAACTACATTAGTGCAAGTGTGGCGAAAGAGTATCTCCAGCGGGAGAACGTACCGTAGCGACGAACGATCTCAGGTCCCCCGAATGCCTCGTCCGGCAAGCCATAGTGCGGATGCAAGAAGAGCATGAGCTGGGTGTCTTGGAGGGCTCCCAAACAGCCTCTAGCTCGGGGTCATCCAGGCCATTGCCTTGTCCGGTTGTCCCCATAATCACGCCGCGGATATGAGGGAGGGTACTGACTCTATGCACTTCGTCCGCCACGGTGACCTGCTGCGGCGCGCCGAGTGGTAGGGCACCAAAGGCAAAGAGATGTGGCAGCTTGTCCGGTTGAGCGCTATTGGCCTGCACACAGGTAGATTCCAGGTCATTGTTGATCTTTTGTGCCCATTCAGAGGCTTGTCCTTCCCCGATGAAATTGAGCCATGGGTTGGCGAGGCAAATCATGCTGCAGTCGATGCCCTGTTTCTCCATAAAGTCGAGCTTGACCTTGATGTCGGAGTATGACGAGTCCGCTGGCCGCCAGCGCTGGTCGAGGGGAATGTTCAAGTCATCGTCTGATGAGAGTATGATTAGACGGGGTGTTCCGCCATCGGATGGGTCGTGGATGTAGGCACCTTGTGGCGGGCGCGGAGCATGTCGATATATGCGGGTGGGTAGACATGGGTGTGGATGTCGACGATTAATGGGCTGGACATTCTGATGGCGCTTATAGACGTGAACCTTTGAGATTTTGGGATTTATTTTGAATGAAGAGAAGATAGGAAAAGGCTAGAGAAGAAGGGAGAAAGAGAAACGAGGGGTGCAGGCATAGGGCGCAGCTGCAGCATTTACTGTATTACTTGGGAGATAAGAGCTGCAGATGCGGGGATCTCCAATTCCCTATCGTCTCGATGTCACCTCGCCCGCAATGACCAATCTAAGCTTTTCTCTCCTCTGATGAACATTCGATAACTCCTCTCCATCTGTCAGGTTTCAGTAGTTCATAGCGTAGACAGGTCAATCGCCATGTGCGAAACCATGCTTTGTCAAAACCCAGAAATCAACTCGTAATGACACTAGCGAACACTTGACTATTCAGGGATCGATAAACAGCCTCCAGTCCAAACGAGCCCGAGATTCATGCCGAACTGGATATACTTCAACCACAATGCGGGATGTTGCAGAAGCTTAGAAAACTGATGGGCTCGGGCACTCTCGTCCTAAGGTTTGAGACACCTCCGTTAGTACTCAGGTACACGATTGTATTGAGCTGAAATTCGGTATAATAACGTCATATATAACATCGTCATCTGCATGAAAGATTCTCATCCTCCATCTCAATTCTATCCAAGGAAATCATTTCCGCCGACCAGACCTGTGGCTATGAACTCAACATATTGGACCAGTAGAGACAGGCTCAAGAGATACACGTACCAGGTTGACATAAAATCAATCCCTTAAGCGATCACCTGGCTTCCAATAGTGCTGCCCGCCAAGATAAAAGGCTTCTTGTTGGTGAAGTTGGGGACATCGCCTCTGATCATGGCCGCCGCCTCTCCCGAGGCAGCAACCTTTCTAGCCTCCTCGCTCTCCCACACCAGGGTGGCAGCAATCAGGTACTTGGGAGAGGTACCGGCAGGATCGCGGTCGTACTTGACAACATTCCAGCTCTTGAGACCAACAGGGCCCCAGTGCTTGGCCACCAGAGGCATATGGGTCTGCAGGTAGTAGTCGGTATCGAACGTGGTGTCCAGCTCATTGGGGTAGACGACAACGGCGGTGAAAGTCATTGTGACGGATGGAGAAGAGGGAGGGTTTCGTATAGAAGGGATGGAAAGACACTTAGAATGGAATCAGGGGTTTACTTGAAGAGAAGAGGGGCAGTATTAGTGCCATGTCTGCTGTAGAAGATCACCGACTTATTAATGTTGTCGCGGGGTGGATCTTTAACTGTCTGAGGTCGGTTGAACACGAGATGTCCATTGAACACGAGATGCCCCTCATACATGTGGGCGCCCAATAAGCCAACGGAGATTCAGAATGATTATGCGGACCTCGGCGTACCCTCGGTCATTTTCTTCAGAAAGATGAACATATTTAATGAAGAAAATGGTTGTTTTTCTTATAGTGCTGCCTAGTGGAAATTTATTGTCCAAGGCGCACCCGAGAACCAGAGATAACCGGGATCGAAACGAACTGTGTTACCTTTTAGAACGCCCACTTAATAATTATAATTATGCCATATCGCCGACACATTTTTACCTTCTGTTTTCGTCGCTCGTCAGAGCGCAAAAACCCCGCAGCTTACAGCGCTTTTCTCGAATAAGTTTGTGAACGTTTTATGGATTGCAACGCCGGCTTGTCCCGTTGCCGCTCCGGTCCCTTCTGCGTAGATATGGTTTAAACTACTATGATATATCGTCAATTATGCTATCTCTCTCGTGGAATGGCTGGTTAGGTTTGTCCGTGAATCTTATCACTGGCACTGTGACGAGGCTGTATTCCGCTGTCTTCGAGGTCCGGTGCCTCATTCTCCAATGTTGTAAACCGAAAGGAGCCTGCTTGTTCCGATTTTTGAGAGGCTATGTATACAACATGAAGCCCAAGGTAATTGGGAATGAACTCTATCTTCGTATAGACAATGCAGGAATTATTTCCGATATTGCGGCTTCGTTCCTGAGCAGCAACTGCCTCATGTCACACAACACATGAAATAGGCATGAAAGCTTCTCTTAAACGTCTCCAAATATTCACCTCTACTTCTACAATAGCTCGTCATTTCTCCCAGTAGATTTCTGCCGTGTTTAATTTGCATTAGACTTGGGCATGATATGACTACTCCATGTGTTGTAAGGATTATATATCTATCCTATGAGCATAGAGGTTAGTATATGGCCTAATATCCTGTAGCACCTAGTCGCAGTAATGGCTGTGCTGAAAGTCCCTTATCCTTCTGATATTTTCCTTGTCAAGTCATCTTCAAAACCTGGGTTGTCCCCGCGGAGATCATTATCCAGGTCGCGAAATGCCTCATATTTAACTTAACCAGCCACCTTTGAGATGGCTGACCTCACACTCAAGTGGAGCAAACGCCTGTTTTCCTTGAATCCGACCAGATATTTCCGATTACCGCTGGTATACTTTTTAAGTTAGTCCAATAACAGCAGTCTACACAGATAGCGACGTTCAAACCAATAGCATCTTCCGGGATCAGATTGGAGTGGTGAAATAACAGGAGAGCGCTGCTTGGGGTGAGGGATCCTTTCGCGACTAACTGCTGCCTGAGCGAGGTGAGAGCTCCCCAAGTGACAGAGCCAAACCCGTACTTACTCTTGTGAATAGCAGGTACAACTTCACGCGGTTCTGTCTATGGCGTGTTCATGGACGGTTCAAGCCGTCCATCCACGGACAAAGAGCCGGTGTTAAGGCCCGTCCACGGACGCCCATTTGTGGCTTTGTCGTCCGATTTCAAAGCAAAAATTCCTGATTCGCGAATTCATTATTTCACTAGTTAAGTTAGTTAACTTAACAAAAAAAAGGGGGGTGGGTGGGGAGGATTGGCCTTGGGCTAGCCTCTGTGGCAATTACGAACATCAGGTACAAGCACGGAGCCCCTTCCCGACGAGCACCTAGCGCAAAAAAACCAGCCACAGATAGAGATTCCACCTGCGACCAGACAGACAGGAGAAGCACTGTCCCCACTCACTTGCCCTGGCATAATGCCGCCGTACCAATATTCAATGAGCCCCTTCGTCGCAAGCCGTGTCTATTTAAGCCAGAGTATCCCCCAGCTGGCGTGTTCCCCTCTTCCGTGGGCCTGGGTATTGATACGAGAGTTGTTTTCAGAATAACAGCTTAGTTCAAAGGATGAATTATATCACAAAGAAAGTGGGGCTCCTACTCCTCCTCCCTAGCATTGCTGCCAGCAACACACTCAAAAACGAAGCCCGACTCCAATACAACGAAACCCTAAACTCAGCCAAACCCGGAATCCTCTCTACCCGCGACCTCTTCGGCCTCACCAGCCGGGACTACTACGAATGTGACCCAGATTACAGTGAATGCGCCTACGATACATCGCGCTGCTGCCCAACGGGTTCCGGATGCTGTGGAGACGGGTACTGCGCGGAAGCTGACGAGATCTGCTGCAGCTCAGGTACTTGTCCTAGTGGATGGGATTGCTGCGGTAATGGGAACTGCTCACCGAAAGACGGGGAGTGCTGCAGTGACGGGCAATACTGTCTTTCTGGGTATAGCTGTATGATTTACGATGGGGAAAAGGTGTGTTGCCCTGAGTCGGGATGTGTGGGGAATTATGATTCTGTGGAATTGGGAAGCACGACTACGGCTATTATGGGTGTTACCACGACGATGCCTGTGACTACTCCAGTTCCGATAACGGAGACCTACTATTATTACTCGTACTATTATACGACTTACTACTGGTGAGTAACGCGGACTTAGGATTGTTCTCCGGCGATGATTGCTAAACCTTGTGTCAGGACTTACTGGTGGTACTTCTGGACCTCCTACTATCCCTATGCAGTGAAGACAGTCACTTCCACCGAAACCACCACCGGGACTGTTTATTCCGCCTATGCAACGGACAGCGCAGAGGCGATCTCTTCCTTGGAGTATAGCATTTCTGTTTATTCATTCACACCGCCGGCCACCGCTACTTCACTGAAGAGCTCTACGGACCCTGTTCCCATTTCGTCTATAGCTGGTGCTACTGCGACTTCAGGATCTTCTTCGGCCAACAAGGGAGGCAGGATCCTAGGAATTGGCCCAGCAAGTGTGGTTTCAGCTAGTGGAAATGTTGCGTTGACGTGTGTTATCGCGGCAGGTGTGATTGGTGTTTTGGTTTTTGGACTGTGACAGAAGGCGAAAAAATAAATATCGAAGTAAGAACGAGACATGGTTGTTGAAATATGAGGGTATATGTATCGCAGTTAATATGGTGCTTTGAGGCGGCCCACTTAGCCAGGAATCAATTAATGTAATCGTAAAGCGAGTCAATCGTGCGAGCGAGCCGATCTCCCCGAAACACATAGTAAATGTGATAAATTACAACTTCTTATTTCAACAACTAAAACTGTTCATGAGGCCGTTTTATATGAAGATGTAGCGGGCTAGGACCCGATGTTCATTATGAGAGGGCACGTGAATTCTCAAATGACCTATACCCCTCTACAAAGTCTTGTTTGTCTTTCCTTCAAGCTTTTGGTAAACAGTCCGATGCCTATTTAGATTCAATCCCTAGCTCCACAAATAGGTAAGGATTTCCATATCAAAAGAGTAGCCAGGTCGACCCTTATTATATACTGACATCAGAAGACAACTAGATCGGTCGGAGAGATCAATTGGAAAAGAAGAAAACAAGCAGGGAAGAGAGGGAGCAAACCACATTGGTCCTTGTAACCTCAATGACGCTTCCATTTAAAATGCCACGATGACGGGACTCGCCATGGCAGTGCCGAAGCTGACGACATTGCGGCCCATAGCATTGGTACAGAATGGTGAGGGGTTGCCGGATGTAGTGCCAGAGGGAGTGGACTTGGTAACTCGGGTGCTGCGCGGAGTGCTGGGAGTGTGGAGGACGCGTGAGACTGAGACAACCACGCACGCACTGTCAGGTTCGCCACGGGGCGACGCTGCTCTCCTCGGTGCGGATGGTGGTGGGACATCGCTAATGACGGTGGTGGTATCGGAGCCTGGGCTTCGGGCTTAGAGATGCCGAACCGGGTGGACCACTGCGAGGTTCCGGTGCCCTCAATGACGAGGAGAAATCCGTATGAGTTACATCCGGAGTTATGCTGGGGCTGGCAGTCTAGGCGTCGTTGCCAGAGTTAGGGATGTTGTGGACGATGGTCTCCAGAGGCTTGACGTTGGGGCTTGGACCGCGGGTGGGACCGGCGAGATGCGGTTGCCAAGGGTGGAGTTCCACTTGATCTCATACGGCTTGCCATTAGGAACCTGCTCGTTTAGACCCGGCCCAGTCGATTGCATTACCCTAGGGAGGCTTAGTCTGGCGGGGCTGAGTGTTGGCAGCCATGAAAGCTGAGATGACCGCAAACCTGGTGACAGAGAATGCTGATTGACAAAGAATGACTAAAGTGGGACGGAAAAGGCAACAGCAGGAGTGCTTTAAGAGCAGCGAGCGATGTGTGGGAATGTAAGAATGAGCAGGAAGCAAAGAGGGAAAAACGGGACTAAAAGGGGAGGGTAACTGCCAATGGCGCCCCGGGGGGGAGCAGAGTTGGTTGGGAGACAGGGTTGAGAGTGGAGAGGCCACGTTTCGGAGCCCCATCAGGAGACCCAAAAGGCCAAGCATAGGCCGGCCGCTCGGGCCGCATCGCTGTTACCATAGTGGGTCTGCCTCAAAAGCTTACTTTTCCAAGCTCTCTCTTTCGTGTACAGTCAGCTTTCATTGGTATGTGGAACAGGGTACATTCCCCACTTATTTTTCTGCAGGTAGGACTCCAGAACATCAAGTCCTCGCTCAAAAGATCAAGGTCTTTGCCTTGTGCCATAGCCTCTCACACAATTTTTACTTTGTCTCATAGTGCAGCTTAAAGCAAATCCCAGAGACTTAACTTCTTACAGTAAAAGTCGAAAACAGATTCCCCTTTCGATACACACACGTTGATTCTCGTGCCGTACCCAATACCCTTGTCGGTGGCAGCTGCATCTCAATTCACAACACTATAAGCTCCATTGGCTATGGTTGGTTCAAACAGTATTCCCACAGTGCTGAACACCCACCAACGTCGACCGTGTTATAAATGACCTAGACCTAGACAGTTGTTATCTCGATCACCACATCCGCCAGACCACTAACTAATAACGCGTGCATCACGTGATATCTTATAACAATCATGAAAAACTTCGAGGCCATATTGAGCGGATATAGTTCTTGATTCATTACTATTCTATTGGAAAGGTCACCGTCTCTTTCATGAGGGTTGAAGTCGGGCAATTATTTTCTCTTTTCCCCATCTATCCCGCTTCCTTCATCCCTGCATATTTTCAAACTTTTTTATCCCTCTCATTTGCCCGATACGCTATACCAAGTTCCGTCAGCCTCACCTTGATTTTATTTAACATGCTCCTCCCTGTTCACACTGAAATGTCTAAATAAAGAATATTGGCACATACGAGGTTTACCTCAGATTTCGCTCGCCGGGCAATGGATCGTGAGCCAGGGGCAGCTAGATATCCGCATACATATACGAGTGGTTTTGGCCGGAACTCCTCATGAGTTACATTGGAAACAAGGGAAGAAATTTTTCGTTTTATCTGTACATTCTCTGACAGCTGGGTACTTCGCAGCTATCCTGGTACTATTTTCATTGACACAAACCTTCCCCCATTATACTCCAACAACTGTCCTAAACGAACAATCCAGCCAATACAGCCCCCATAAGTGCGATCTGGGTTGGCGTATTCACGATAGCACCATTGGTAGTAGTCGTGCTCGTTGAACTACTATTCCGAGAGGGCGACCTAGTACCAGATGAAGCAGGCCCACCCGATACACTCGTTGCCGTTGTACTGGAGACTTCAACCCCAGGAAAGAGCTCTCCGCGGCACTCGTCAGGCAAAGTAGAAGAATACTCCGACTGATCAGCCGTTGGGCACTCCTTGATACACTTGATCATTGGATCTTGGTTTCCGCCAATGAAACTGGCGCAGGTGCAGTCCGCAAGAGCCTGGCCTTCTTCATCCCCATCGCACGACGAGAGGATTGGGTGTGAGGTGAGACAAGTCTCTACGCACTGGCTGTACTGGGCGGCCCAGGTTGAGGAGGTCAGGGTTATGATGCTAGCTGTGCTGATAAGGAAGGTGGTGGCACGCATTCTGAGTGATTTAGGAGTATATAGGATGATTGAAAGTATATACTCCGCGGCGACGTAGAACGCAAAAAGATGGGATAATTGAGTATCGCTTGAGTCAGAAAGGCGTCCGAGAACCCAATCTGTTCAAGGTTTGATGATATATATACTTTTCGTAAGTGTAGCAAAAATTCTCCAAGAGCCGCAATATCAATTATACTTTAGCTACTATACAATTTCTCGTATCCACACAGGCCCTCGTTGGATATGCCTGGATGTGGTTAACACTTTGACAAAGCCCTGAAAGATACCTAAAATTATGTACCAGGTCGCCAGGCGGGCGAGGCTAACTGAGCACGTCAGCCTATCAGATGAGATACCCTTTTGTCCCTCCTCTCTTCGAGTTCACATTCGTTCCTGTGAGACGGTCTTCGGGTAAGTCTACTAAGCCACAGCAGAACGGGACGGCTGACGAAGCATTTCCTGTGGCCCAGATCGCACTAATCAACGCCAAGAGTGGGGTGAGGTTCATTGCAAGCGCAGGCAAGCTTCACAGGCAGGATGCGTACGGCCGGGCTGGATCAGGGGAGAGATTTGCTTCTAAATACAAAAGTACATTGGAGCCTGGCAGACGTCACGCACTTTCCGTCGGCCTGGCTATTGTGGATCAACCGCTAGTCCTTGCAGGATCTGGCTTTACAAGAGGCGTATGACCTGTTGCTTCATCTCGAGGACTACTCAATTAGCCCTGGAAGTGTCGATCAGAGGTTCTACTTACCATGAAAACTGCGACTCAACCACCAACAGCGCCAAAGCGATAGCCTCAGTGGGTCAACAGTGTCTCACCTGGTCGCTGGGGGTCCGTCTAGTGGCATCAATCACGGAGTAAGCCCCAAACTTGCGGAGGGGACGGGCGAAAGATAACAAGATTTCACCGTTAGAGTATGGATGAATACCGTTCGATCACAAAAGTTAATTTTGAGACTCAAGAAGTGCGCAGCTACCTACAGTAAGAGATAGGCACATATGTTGCGGTTGGGGCACATTGCGGCGGATGGCGACCTGCCCCAGTTGGTAAGCAAGTTTCGATCTCGTATATCGCGATCTTTAGCCGATCAAAGTTCCTAGTCACTAGCTGGACGGTACAGGAAGGGGACGACGAAAGCTAGCGATGGTATTTTTGCCCGATTAAGGCAAGCCGCAGAAATAGAGCAAAAGCTTAGAAGCTTGGTACGGCCCAACTATGCTCACTACTTGCTGGCCAAAAAGTTTTGCTTTTTCCTCCAAACACACCTTCTTTGATTGGCTAGTCCTGGAATGCAATTTATTTTTTTTGAGTGCCGCACCGCCTATTGACCTTCAAGTCATACTAATCCCTCGGTGAAAGACCGAGACCAAGAGCCCGGGTGGGTAGGGGACAGAGGGCTTATGAGAGGTTAGTTATGAGATAAAGTAGACTAGACGAGCTCTCAAGATCCTACAGTCTATAGGTCTTTAGGACCGAAGTTTCGAAATTCTCACCCGTTCACCCGAATAGAGGGAAGATCAGAGATATGCGACGACGAAAGCGAACTTGGAGATGGGTTGAAGTGGTGAAAGTGTGGTTAGTTGACAAGCTTTCTACAAGTTTTGGCGGGGATGGTGCCCATGGAAAGAGTGGACCGTGGGTCGACGAATCAGCTAGCACGCCCTTCGCCGGCCGCGGACCGAAATTAGAGGTCAGCAGGCATTAGACAAACTAGCCGAGAATGTCTAGAACAACATCAATTTGCCGCTTGCTGTGCCGGGATTAAACGTTGGGAATCCTTCCGATATCTAAGCTACGGGCTCGTTTGACGAAAAGATTATTCCTTATTTTTCATAAGCTGCAGGGTGGCCTGGTAGGAACCGTGGACATAATCCGGTTGCTGCATGTGTACTGTGTATATGTTCCGTTAGACTGTCATGTCCCAAAGACAAACCGTCAAAACGGTAGCTGGAAACAGTTTGACGAATGGGACCTGGGTGCGGTAAATGTGGGTAATATCACTTGGGCCTGGCGTTGAGTGATCAGATATGTGAATTATGAACGTTACCAACTAGTAAATAGTATGTCTTAAATTTCGCCGCCTATCGAAATAGAGCAAGGATCTAAGACCCTTGGAACGTTATTCCGCGCCTGAATTTTAGCGGTGATGGGGCTGAATGGGGCCTTACGCAGATGCAGATGCCTTAAAAGCTCCTGGACCCCTACCAGTTACATTGCTCTAGTCCTTCCTATATTTCTCATCTTTCTGTCTACCAACTTAATCATTCGCTCTGAGAAACCATATCCATCAACCATGCAACAAGACACAGGAGCTTCGCGGCCCTCACGGCTCAACAAATGGTGGCCCATCGGCGTTTTCATTGGCGCCGTCGTTTGCTTCATCATCGGTGGTGCTCTCATGGGCGCATGGGTCTCCAGCTCATACAATGACTGCTCCTATAGCTCCTACTACAGCTCCTACTATAGCGACTACTCCTGTGTCACTACAAACATGGGCGAGTCTTATGGCGCTGTTGCCATGTTCGTGATTGGCGGTGTCCTCAAGCTCACTGCCTGGATCCTACTCATCATCTTCTGCGTCAAGCGCAAGCGCTACAGTCACCACACCGTTACATACGTCAACTCTCCTCCTGTCCAGCAACCCAAGCCCTTTCAGCAGCCCTACGCCTCGTCCCAGCCCACAAATGCCACGCCGCAGCCTGTCTCCCCTGAGATTGCGGGCCCATTTCTAGCTGGAACACCTCATCCTAAGGAAGCCAATGCCACAGCAACTGCCTCCAAGTATTGTGGCCAGTGCGGGACTGCTGTCTTTAGCCGAGTCTGCCCTCAGTGTGGAGCACGAGCTGAGCTTCCATTGGAGCAGCCTTGATAACAGACTTCGACGCTTCCAGCAGTACTTGCCATTGAAACACGAAAACTATGAAGCATATCGTTGCTCAGGATTGCAGATGATGGATTGGTGCCACCTTATATTTTGTTAAGCCTATGTAGGCAACTCTTTTGAGCCACCGCGGGATGAATCATACAGACTCTTGTATCGGTCCTCCCCCGGCGCTTTTATATGTTCTTCTTTTTGAGCCCACTTGAAAAAATGTATTTAGTCTATAATGATATTTAATTGCACTCCAGCTGGTAGATTTTACAATTTGATGAACAACTAGAGCAAAGGGCCCTATGACAGAGACTGGAGTGCCACTGATGATCCCGAGGAAAGAAAACCAACGTCGAGGATAGCCGCTGTTTGCCAATTGTTTAATTCAGGAACTCGTATTGCGGCATGGCTTCTACCCTGGACGAAATTGCAGGAACCTCGAGGCTAAATTGAATCTGGGCCTGTCGGAACGTCTGAAAAATATGCGGTCCTCGTATTCAGTCTTGAAACCTTTCAAACCAGCTGCAACCTCGTATACCTTCCTGCGAAGACCTACACTTCATTTAGAACTGTCGATCCAAGATCCACGCCCGGAGGCAACGCAGCCTTAATTCAAGCCGGAAAACGTACTGCCCAAAGTAGCACACGGTTACCACCTCTAAACAACTTCTGGAATTGCTAATTTTGTGCCTGTACCACGACCCAACACCACGTTTCCTTGATTAGCCCTTATGAGATCCCCTAAAACTTTATCTGAGGTTAGTCGATTCCACTTGCAGTGGCCCCACAACTTATCACGCTGGGTTATACGGGCGACCGAACTCGACGCCAGACAAGAACTGATAAACGGCTTATGATGTCGTGTTATGCTACCATCAGATTCTCGTGCAACTCAGGTCACATTTCTATATGTTGGGATGTTAATTAGAGTTTGCTCCTAAGTGTGCTAGACCAGCTTTCGTGGCTGATTTCAAGGACATCTGTCAGAAATTCGATGCCGTTTTCTGCCATTGGGGGTGCGCACCAATGTGCTCGTTGAGGTGACTGAGCAACGGAGTCCGGTGGGCATCTTGGTACCATTGTATCTTCGTGTCCAGGCGGCACAGTGTGCCCGGATAGGGTGACCCGCATGGTTGGTCCCAGCACCGCAGACATGTCCATAAACGGAAATTGCGTCCGCTGGCACGTAGCTTCCCGGCTCCGGTGGTATCTGGAGATACTGGCTTATGTTCATTTGCAAGCATTGTCTTGACGGAGGAGCAGATCAGAAAAACGTCGATCACGCCTTTCCGCGGATTGGATGCTTGGCGGAGACACAAAGACTACACCGACGCCGACAAAAGGCAACAAAATCCCACAGCCCTCCGACTTCACGCACTGGAAGAGAACTCGCCAGACAAAACCACCAAAGAAGGGTCATACATGTGAACCTTCCTTTTGACACCACACCACTTTCAAGTTGAAACGGACACACGCGCTGCCATGGACAGCGAAAATCACACGCAGTACTACATCGTTGACCATTATACTGCCGCTCAATTGCACTTTAAAGACGAAGCCAACATATTGTTTACTTTTGTATCAGGTCGTCATGGCTGCCGACTCGCTCAAGGAGAACCGACTCTTTATCAATGGCGAATTCGTCCCCTCATTCTCCGGCAAAACGTTTGATGTAATCAACCCCACGACTGAGGAGATCGTAGCGTCCGTCTATGAAGCCGATGTTGGAGACGTAGATCGTGCTGTGGAGGCTGCCAAAGCCGCCTTTCCAGCATGGTCAGCTCTCTCAGCAAAGGCAAGATGCGATTACTTGTCCAAACTGGCGGATGTGATTGAGAAAAGTGAGGAGCTGTTCATTCATTTAGAGGCTGTTACCATGGGAATGCCACCGTCCGGAATGAAATGTTAGTAGTGTCGTATCCTTCCGTTTGCAGACTTCTATATCAAGTTCGATGAGGCACTGCACCTTACTGACAAAGGAACAGTCGAGTTAGCAACGTCAAAACAATACCTCAAATACTTTGCCAGCCATGCCATTGATGTTACTGGAGAGACTTCTCTCAATACTCCTGGCTACCACGATCTGTCCACCCGTCAGCCGTACGGCGTGTGTGGAGGCATTATCCCTTGGAACGCTCCTTTGCTCATGCTTGTTACCAAAATTGGCCCGGCCCTGGCAGCCGGAAATACCATGGTGCTCAAGTCGTCGGAGAAATCCCCCTTCGCATCGATAGTCTTCGCTTCCCTGTGCCAGAGAGTCGGTCTTCCTAAAGGCGTACTCAATATGCTAAGTGGATTCGGCCGACCTTGTGGTATGGCCATTGCCAAACACATGGATATTAAAAGCATCTCATTTACTGGCTCCGTCGCCACTGGCAGGGCCATTCAGAAAGCTTCCAGTGAGTCCAATTTGAAGGACGTTGCTCTTTATCCTCATTTTGCGCACCTTCAGACGCTACCGCAGTCTTTACTTCTGGGCCCTCCTATTCTCGAACATCGTCGGCGTGATCCCGATGACGACCGGGGACATGCTTAAATCCTTTGATTTGGCGCCGGACTGGCTGATGCTCACCCTCGAGTGTGAGCTGGGCTTTCTTGGTCCCGGGTCAATCGGTGGTCGTTTATTAGCGGATTCACCTGGTCTGCCGCAAGCAGAAAATCATCCTTTTTATCCGAAATCTCATCAACGTCATCACTGTCCTCCTCGTACCACCGGTAATTATCACCGATTTCCGCTCGGTCTGTTCCACAGCCGTGTCGTGGACCACTTCATTTAAGATCATCGACCGGCTGCAGTTGACGTGGTCCAGCGTGCAGGAGTGCGCCGTAAGCTCTGTCTATATTCTTGAGACCATCAAGATTATCCGCGTCTACCCCAAGAACAAGCAGCGGACTAAGATTTTTTTCGAAATGCTCACCGTCAATGCGATTTGTATCCTGATGAATATCACATTGGTGGTGCTCCAGTATTTGGACTTCTACTTCGCGTAAATTCTTGTGAAATCGTTTGTGTACAGTATCAAATTGAAGCTGGAGTTTGCTGTCCTGAGCACTCTGGTTTTCATATCACACTTGCATGTAACTTTTCCTAATTGCGCAGCATTCCAACGGATGAAGACGGTGTGGTCTCCGCGTCGATACATTAGGTCCGTTAAGCGACCGCTGAAAGCCACTTTGTGTTATCCAAGGCGGGAATCAATAGTACATTTTCTATGTACAGACCAACAGCAGGTTTAGCACAGTCGAGGTGGGCGGACAGTGAGGCCATTTTATTCAGTTCTAAGGGCCTGGCGTGTAGAGAAGTTAACAAAGAGAATGCAAGTTGTGAATGTTGTCAATCATGAATGAATATTATAGTGATTCTCGAAATTGCCTTGACTAGTACATGCTGAGACTCTCTCTCTCGGCCCCACTGCCAAGGCCTCAGCGTAGATCCCTCATCTGGCCTATAGTAGAAAGTTGGGGTCCGCTGTCCTGTGCCCCTTGACTAGTACGCTGCGCTAACCATCAACATGCTCCCCGCATTTAAAGCGTCAGTTGCTTATTTTTAGAGGCACAGATACAATATCTTACAGAGTCTCAATACGTACGGGTCTTCAACTTAAAGCGACCAGCGCAATTTATGATCTGCGCTAAGACCTCGGCAGTGGGGCCGAGAGAGAGTCTCACTGTGTACTAGTCAAGCAAATTTCGAGAATCCATGTTGGTTCTTCAACAGTTTCGCCTGATATCACGGGTGATTATAGAATTAACCTGCTAATTCAACCTTGGAATATCGACCTGGAACTTTGGCAATAAAAGGACGGGTGTTTGGAAGTTCGGAAGACTGATATACCCAATTAGAAGGTACCTCAGCGGCAGAAGAGTGACGAGAAGGTGCATGGGGTGCAGAATATAGGGACATAAGCTCTGGAGGCGATGGGCCCGATCTAGACATCACAGAGATTGACGGATTTTTAGGTCCGTCCGCGGAAGGGCCTAGGTTATATTCAGATCCCATCCGTGGTCGAATGACCCTATCTGCGCTCAATTTCTTTCTAAGACGCCAGATCCAGAAAAGTAGCGCAGCGAGGATTGCGATTCCCACCACCGGGCCGATTACTGCTCCAACGATCCAAATTTTCGAGGGTGGGGACCCAGAACTGTTGTTCGAAGCTGTCTCTGTCGCTGAAGATGATACAGTTTGCGATGAGGAATTGGCGACTTATGTAATTTATTAGCATGTGAAGCTCGTTTTTACTTTATTTCTTTTTACTTCTAGCTGTAATGTAATAAAGTACTCACATGAGTCCGTTATGGGTGTTGCAACTGTGGAGGCAGGTACTGTTCGATAGTACGAAGTAGTTCGACCATCGAGACAACCATACTCCGAGAATGGACTTTGGGCACCAGGCGAACTAAACAAATAACCTGTGTTACATATATAGCCTTGGCTGCTGCGAGACAATGAGTTAACATGGACTACATCTATATGGGTGCTTATTGAGGATATCCCACCATGTCATATACTCATCCTCAAGGTAAAAACCAGTCGAGGATACGCAAGCAGTTGGAATTGCATTTGTCGCCCCGGATGATGCACAAGCCCAATATGAGCCTGAGGTTGTGAAAACTTGTTGGTTGTCGGGGCAAAGAAAAGTGTAGTCTTGTTCGCCAATGTCAGTTTTATCCAATGAAAAGCCTGCTCGTAAACTCACAGCTGCCCGCGGACTCAGTGTATCCGATAAAGTCAGCGCTTTCTCGTTTCAAGAGTGTGGGTTTCGCTGTTGGTTCAGTCATGACTTCCGTATAAATTCAGAACAAAGGGTTTGAGTTAAAATTGTCGGAGTTTGAATAATTCTTTCATTCTTTCGACGAAATGGGGATGTCGTCTATTAAATGCATTCCTCGTAGATTTGTGAAGACGGATGCAGGCACTGGGCAGAACCAACGACTCTGTCGAACGCATCTCTAACCCCCCAGCTTGCCTCATATTGGCATAGCGTGCGAATAGTTAAACCTTGAATACGAGGTGAACTGTGAGGTGAAGGGCTCACTAGTACATAGCTCATTCCGCCCACGTGCAGAGAATACTCATTTTCAGTTTCACCACCGAACTTAGGATATAGCACAACGAAGGAATCAAACATGCTTATAATGGCCCCTGAGGACCTTTTCAATTTTACTTTGTAGGCACTCTCGGTGAGCAAAAGCCGCGAAAAGGTAAGCGCTAGAACAGAAGGGAAATACCAAGCTTTGGCCAACATTGTGTAGCGTATATACACGATTCAATTATTATGGAGTTGTATCTGCAACCATTGCAGTTACATGGCTTCTCGAAATCGCCTAGACCAGTACACACTAACACTGTCTGTTCTGGCCCCCCACTGCTAAGACGTTAGAAGCAGATCATCAATTGGCCTGGTCACACTAAGATGAGGACCACTACGTAATAGGACTCTGTGTGGTGTTGTATCTCTCCCTCCAAAAAAAAATCGCACGCTTTGTATGTGGTGTACGCGTCGATGGTCACTGTGCTAGCTAAGGGGCATATTACAGCGGACCGCAACTTCCTGTTGCAGCCAAATGAATGATCTGCGCTAAGGTCTTGGCAGTGGAGCGAGGACAGACAGTGTCAGTGTGTACTGGTCAAGCGATTTCGAGAAACCCTGTACCTTGACGAACGTTATCTTGAACGAACATTGTACGCTGTATATCACACTAGGTTAATTCCGCTCTCACCATGATATCTCTTGGACCCCGATCGTATCGAAGTCTTTGTCTTTGATCTATTACATCACCAATTATGCCACAAAAGACGGCATCTCCCCGTGGCAGGTTGTGGCAAAAGCAGCCTTATTGAAACAACTCATCGAAAGGGCACAGGCTACCGAGACTCCAACGACAAACGACCTGCGGCTTCGAGAGAAGGGCTTGGACAACTTTGCGCTCCGCTGCTTCAACACCCTTTCACATGATCGGGAGATCAGCGGCGTCCAGGTGGCAAGCATTCTGCTCAACTTACCAACTTACTACACGGTCAATTACAACTTTAACCGCATCAATCTGTGGTGGCTAAGGCGATATATGCGTCATGTCATCGAACCTACCAGCGTTGACAGCGGTAGCTCGTCTGGTCCTATGGACGAAGAACAGTGCAAACACTGCCCCTGTCAGCATCTCTGACAACTATAAATGGCGCGGGCCACATCTTGCTTGAATCACGCTCTTCGAATATTGTATGATTGTACGGACCAAGCAGTTCGGAATGCGATTGTAGACGACGTCAACTTTGACCCGTCACACCCTCAAAGCCAGACTCATGTGCAGCACCTAGCCTCCAGCTCGTCACAAGTCGCCACTGTCACCTTTAATGGGCAGCTAACAGAGTCTCAAGCCTCGGAAGACGCCGTTCCTGGCGGCCGTCCAAAAATGGTTGCAAGTGGCTTAGAATGAGTGCAATTCTAATTCTAACGCTTGGCAGAAGAACTCAGCAACGGGTCTAATATTGAGTCTACGATATATGAACATTGTGTATCTTCATTAATTTTTTGGTTCTGTCTATAGCTCAAGGAATCTCATTACAGTATAATTACAATAGTCCAAAAGTGATTTTTGATCAAATTTTTTTATTGATGTAAATTGCATGCTCAAACGAAAGACAGCTTGGAACATAATCAGATGTGGTGATGGCGGGTATTGTGTTGTTGCATAATACTTGTTTCGTACATTTTTGAGCGGGAATTCATTTGGCGTCATGATATGAACGAGTTGATTTCTAGGTGAAATGACAGATTTGAATATTTACGAGGATATCTCTTTGATAACTAATTCCGTAGGGGAGGTAGAAGATCCCGGCGCTGCTCTATCTGCATCGTGGTCCAACCAAGAAGAGCAGCTGCAGGCTGACTGTCTCTGCCATGAGCCTGCTATTGTTTGCCAACAGCCCTTAGTCCTACTCTCTCCAAGAACATCATTTCCAGGAACTTCTTGTGGAGATTGTGAACACCCGCGGTCGAGGGCTAGCTAAAGTGAGCTCCGGTATAACTTTTAATCTCCTCATCGCACCGCGAGAACAGCATCACGGTGATTATCAACAACAGGTTCAGGCGAGCGACTTTCGGTTGGGAGGGTGATGATATCAAATGCCTCCAGCCCCATGGAAGCTGCAACCAGATCAAGCCATTTATTGGGAGATAGCAGATCTTTCTCAGGGCCATCTGGTTCAATGGGTGTTGAGTTGGCGTCTTTGGACCCCCGAAGTTTAGAAACGAGATGAAAAGGCAAAGGGTCCACCATTTGGTCCCATTTGCAGGATTGAGTGTCCGCCTTGTAGCCGTCAAGGTAATCGACCAGAAGACCAAGAATGTACATACAGATGTCGCAGCCACGGAGAACGCTGTTTGCAAATTCCTGTGGGAACGTCGAAGGAATGGGACCAATGAAAGCGGCCTTGTCGCTAGATTCCATGCCGTTATTGTCATCTGGCTTGCACCATTGATATTTCTGTACCGCAGCTGCTAAGCGAAGATGAGCCGAGAGTGTATAGATAACCTGGCTGCAGCTCAGGGCTCGTGCCGAGAGCTGCTGTGCAGCCTGTCCTGGGCTATCCGTTTGTACCAGTCGTCGAGACTCAAACAGCAAACCTGGGATATTAGCAACTTCAATAAATATTCGATCCTGCAAGTCGATGAAAAGAGCAATCGGTCCATCAACTCGTGGATCAGCCATATCTTCACGGCGAACTTGATGAACATGCGCCTGCCACTCCGGCCGCTCGAATATACAGCATTTGTCATTCAAAAAAGCCTCGGCGACAATGAAACTCCTGAAAGAAAGGTAAAGACAGCGATCAAAACCTGTCAGGTGAGCCTCAGGGCCACGGAGAGCCATGAGCAGAGCCGTACCACCAGCATGGTGAGCCCAGGAGTTCGGATTCGTGGGAGAATATGCCTCAAACAAGCTTAGCATGATAGTAATGCTAACACTTTCACGAGATTTCATCGCAGCCTCGTCTCGGATCCTGTCGCCGAACAACCGAAGCGCCTTACTGTACAACTCCTGACTCGAGCGCTGCAGCTTATCATCGATATGGGTGTATCCCATGAAAACCAAGTTCATGCTGTAGACGGCCACGTCAAATGCTGGACTTTTCCCGCCATGTTGCGCGACATATGTTGTCCACGGTACATGTACTCGGTATCTGTTTAACCCGAACCAGCGTGTGAATGAGGCCATGACGAAGTCGCCGAATATCACCGGCTGTTGCTTGCCCATTGTTCGGGCAACTAGTGAGGGTGCAATGCGCTCGTCGATGGACTCGGGTGCTGGTTCTTGCTTTTTGGCAAATCGGGTTCGGAGCTGGGGTCCTTCGTCCATGAACTTGCGGTTTCGGATGTAGCCCGGACATTCGACGCCGTGCTTTTGGCATTGGGTACATTTCGGTCGTAATAGATCACACTATTGTTGACAAGATCGGCTTAGTAGTGTGCTCTGAAGCCTCGAGAGGGAGGGGAGTCCAACCTTCACACGCCGTTTGATACATGTTTGGCAGCCCTTACTTCTGGGAACGCCAACCATGATGGAATGACTCTGTTGGTTCTTGCCTTGACATTACCAACCTCGAAGTCCAGAATAAGAAGACTGCAAGTCAAATACTTTTGTTACACCACTGTACCAACACCTCCATCTTATTGAGGGATTTTTGGCCGACCCAAAGGGAAGGAGAGCAAAAACTCGCGTGCACCTTCCAAACTTGTGCAACTTGTATACTTCGTACAAGGGAAACAAGTCTTCTACAAGGGTATCAAAATTACTGCGTGTGTGCCCTGGGAACTAACACTTGGATCGTGTATCGATCGGTGCGATCGGTGCCAAAATACCGGGCGCGGTTGAGCTGCGCTTTTGATCCTTCCCCTACGGAGCACGATAAGACCGTTTGTCGGTCGCGTTCCTCTCGCGTACTTTCGGATCATACCGTGGGAAGATGATAAACAACGTAGCCCTGTTTAGAACCACCTATAGCAATAAAATAGTGCTTATTTAGCAAATTTAGCGTGAAAAGGGCTTCTGACGCCACCTTTGTGCCCGATACTGTAACTATCCTCTTACCTATGCAGCTTTCAAAATGCCACATCTCTACGCTGACAAGCTTTTTGAGCGACCCACTTTACTCCAAGCCCCATATTAACTTTTTAGCGGTATTTATAAGACCAGTACAACTTGGTGTCTAGATTATACGCTCTCTCCCAAGGGAATAACGGACCCAAGGGGCTTTTGTGTTGCTATGGGATTCTACTGACATTTATTTCATCACCATTCCACTTTTAGTCTTTGGAGGGCGGGACAGATTGACGAAAGTGAATAATATCCCCGCGGTGCTCCGGTTGGGAGGAGTTATCGTGGCCCGAAAGGCACCTGAAAAGTTGTGGAGCCACCTATCAGACTTCTTGGGATTATTAGAATAGAAAGCGCTGCTTGAAGGGGTGTAAGCACACCAAATAGTGCGCTGTAATTCTGTATATAATCAGAGTGTACCAGACTCCCGACAGAGTCACTCTCACCTGGGTAAGGGAAGTCTAGCCTTGTGCCATTATTCTCTCGTTCATAGCACCGAATAAATTTCCTTTTTTCTGTCTGGCCTGTAACGTATCAGCCCCGCTTATACTCGCTCTCCTTCCTAATCAAGGCGGACATCCCGTAAACTCTCTTATGAGCCTGCTTCCCCTATCTCCAAACTCTAATCACTAACGGTGCATTATCGCCCCGCTCAATTGGCAGAAGAATACGTAACGGAAACGTCGTTCGCTTATAACCCCGCAACCCTACATCGTGTATCATAGCGCCGCTTCGGATGTCCACTTGCACTATACCATCAAGGCTTGGTAGAATTGTGTTTATCTGATAAGGTCGAATTTGCTTTTCCTTTTATATTTCGGGGGACAGAGGAAACGCCTACCACTTTATTTTCTGCAAGAGCGCTCGGCTCTTGAAGACATAATTATTAGTGTTGCTAATGATTTTCGGAAAGTGATAATTGACCTTTTGGCCTCAGGGCTTTTTAGAGGCAGCGCCTGCATACAATGCCTGAATCTTAGCTCTAAACTACTGAGAGTGGCATTAGATCCAAGGGACAACTAGCCTTCGATGGCAAATGGACAAGTTATTTTGTGGCACGATGGCCTTGAGATAAAACCCGTTGATAGGCAATTCGTTAATTTTGTTATCAAATAGCTTGCACCAAATAAATGGCGGTTGTTACAATCATACATAGCGTTTGCACATGATAGCCCGGGGGAGCTCCAGCGGTAGGGTCTATAAATTGCCCATCTCAGCTGCACCACACTATCCTCTCTTTCCGTCCGTTCTGTCCATGCGACTTCTGCATTACTTTCGGGACACAAGTGCACTTGTCCTTGAATTGATGCAAATTTTTGCAAGGAAGTCTGCCATGGAGTTCATCCCCAGTTTGGCCCCCACCCAGCCACAGCTGAGGAAGCAGCCACCATGGCCTCGCGCGAACATGACTTCACCAACATGGATGATGGCTCACCAGAGCGAACCATCGATGGGAAAGGTGCACAATCTTACGGAGAAATTAGTGGGCAGTCACGGTGACATGGCACATATCGACGACATCGACTACGTGATGGACAAGATCAGCACTTTGACCATTGACGAGTGCCCATTGACGAGTGCAAAGATACCATCCAAAAGCGTCTCAAGTACCACGAGTATGACTATAATTTCTCCAACGTTCTGCGAGAGAAGCTCGCCTCCTTGATGCAGGGGCCATCTGAGGGACAAAACATTGAAGAATGGGAGCTACAGCTGAAGACAGAGACGGCTTTAAATCGCTTTTACTCGCCATACCCTGAAGTGCGAGCTGTTTCTACGCCCACGGACGATCCCACTATTCCCTGCGAGACCATTCGCGCCCACCTCCTTGGCTATATGTGGGCCATTATCGCCCAATTCACCAATTCCTTGTTTAATTCGCGCTATCCCTCCATCACTCTAGAATCTGCCGTGGCACAAATCCTGCTTTATCTATGTGGATTATTCCTTGCATGGGTTCTGCCAGACTGGGGATTCATGATAGGCGGCAAGAGAGTTTCTCTCAATCCTGGTCCCTGGACGTACAAAGAACAGATGCTTTCCACCATCATCATCGATGTTGGTCTAACTGCTGCCTATTGCTTCTGGAACATTCAGACCCAGTCCGTCTACTACCAGGACAAATGGCTTACCCGGGCTACCGTATTCTGCTCTTGCTGTCTACCCAGCTCCTGGGTCTTGGGTTTCCGGTCTGCTCCGCCGCTTCGTGGTCTACCCAGTCGAAGCATTGTGGCCCAACATCCTGCCCACTTTGATAGGCCAATGTGTCATGTCGGGCAGAGAGGTCAAGCGCAGAGTGCGCGGGCAAACAGAGATCTTGGAGACTTTGCAGACCGAAGAGGACCGCGTGAAGGCTTTGGCAAAGTACTTCGATATGCACCTTCGTGAGGGCGAGATCCAGGAAATTCGGGATATGACCTCAGAGCTAGTGTAGACATCGACTAAGCGGACTACGATGAAAGCCAAGGGTGAAAAATGATATGATACAGCGTTTCTAGAGAAATTGCAGTGGATATGTGATCACGGAACAGGAAAGGCGCAGACATCGAACGTAAAGAAATGAGGTTGCAATTTTTGAATCTAGTAAATCCGGCTCTCGATCTATGTGTCGGGTCATAATTCCTGCCTCGTGCTATTGCTGGAAAGACTCCTTGCTACACCTTTTATGCAAGACCATATATTAGGTTTCATATATTTCTCGTATTCTATGGTGACTCTTCTGCTAGAGCAGGTCCCGAATTTCAAGGGAACTTGGTTCGAATGTCTGGGGGACCTAGCGCGCTATCGTATGGCAGTGAAGGATACAGATGTCACGGTCCGCGATGTATGGGCAGAGGTTTCTAGGTATTGGTACAATCAGTATCTCGATCAACGTTCTGAACCCGGCCGAATCCAGCATCACCTTGCCGTCCTCTCTCGCTCGGATACTTTGCAGCGGTTCTTCTACTACTCGAAAGCATTGCTCAGCGTGGACCCATTTGCAAATGCGCGTGAGAGCATGATTCAGCTGTTCAACCCTATCCTAAGTGCACCCGCTGACAGACACACACTCACCACTTCGTTTGTGGATGCCCATGGTGTTCTTTTCTTGCGCATGCCAAGTGAGCAGTTTGATGCTCAGTCAAAGTTCCTCCTTGTGAATCTTCGCCAGGAGGTTAGCTGGTTAGGTAGAGAGGCACAGCAAGGCATTTATCACGTGCTGCAACATCGCAGCAATATTGCAATATGGGGAAGAAAATGGAGCTTTCGCTGCGGACTTCGTTCACGATCCGAGTACTTCCACTACAGACGCCTATGTCAATACCAAGCAGTGGGCATCCACAACAGCACCTATCGACTTAAACAGACATTGCTACACCGACTTCTCATCTCAATTTGCATTCCGTGCCAGCTCTCTCGCTTTCCACACCCTGATCGTCATCCTTGGCCAAGCCAGCGAGCCAAGTATGCACCCAGCCTTGCATGACTTTTGGCATTCCTGTGGTGCCTCTCACTCCATCCAACAGCCATGCAACGACTCGAGCCGCTAGTTCCATGATTGATCCTCGCGAATTCTCTGAATAATTTGTTTCAGCCGGGCATCAATATTGCAAGAGTTGACGCCGATCATTTCCCCGCATCGATGGCACACCCACTCAGCAATTGCCGGAAGACTTGCTGATTAGAGGACACATCTGGAGCCGGCTGTATTACCCTGCGAAATGCTTTGATCAGACGGGTGTAGACAATGACAGACCATTGATTGAGGAGCCATGGACAATGCTTCCCAGAAGGCATAGGTGCCTGTGGGTTGGAGTGCGGATTGCAACTGTTTGTCTTACCTGGAGATTTGTATAGTACATTGTTTGCTGACCATACCTTGGCATTTAGCTTTCTCGATGGATGACGTATGACCGGACTCGACACTTTACGCCTACCCTACTTGCCCATCGATTTGCGGCAGTTGCTCAATCCACTGACCACTTTAGTGGGAATCCGTACTCGACCCCAGGCCTCTAGAGCAGGAAATGGGGAGCTTCGAATACGAAGGCACGGGTGCCTGTCCTAATTGAGGCCTGTTGAGACCACTCATTCGTTTAGCCACCGTTTTTGGTCCTGCATTGATAGCATCTAGGAAGTGTGAGGTTCTAAAAGCTAGTCAAGATACAGAGAAAAGAATGCCTCGCAATTCCAACTAGATGCGCTTAAGAGTCAGGGCCGGATTTTTTTTTTCCTTGGTGAATTATCATTTTGTGGATTTGCCGCTCCATGTACATAATCCATGTCAGACTTAGGAGTTAGAAAGTGACGTTGGAAGCAACCAATCTGCGCTAAATTGCATGGACAGGGAGTTCCAGAACGGCGTGATTGCGTCTAGCCCAGTTGAGCCTGCGAAGCCCTCCATGGCCTGCTTTGTGACCCTCAGGGGCTTTGAAGCTCCCAAGGACGCAGATACTGTGGTAACTGGATATACTACTAACTAATATGAACTAGTAGTGGCATGGTTCTTTTGTAGCATGAACGTATCTAGAGTCAGTAATTCTGCTACGTCGTGCTCGGTAATCCTCTACAGATAGCAGGTCTTTTATCTCAGACGCCGTCTCATTACTGCCTCCAGAAATCAGGGGGAACTAAATTGACTAGGCCTGATGCGTCTGATATCAATTTGCTTGGGCTTGATGTCTTTCACGGCTGAAGTCTGGGAAAAAGGAGATTTTCTTTGCTTATGCGCATTTTCTGTCTCTGTCCGTATAAACAGCAAATAGATATCCATAACGGTACCCAAACACGAACATGGACATCTCATCGTCATTATCAATAATCGGTCACGCTCCTGTTGACCGTTGCATCGGTGCTAGGAATTCATCTCTTAACCCTAGGAGTTCTCTTGCTCCCGGGGGCACCAGAAACGTTTTTGGGAGCAAAGAAGCAGCTTCTAGGAGCCGCGTAGCCCCCAGGAAACGCGATGTAGCTTCTGGGGTCTAGTACCATTACCTTGGGGAATCAAAACCGCGTTCCTGTTTGACAACTTGTTGATTCCTGGAGGCGTAGTTGTGCCTTCTGGGAGTGGTTCAATGACGCAAATTTGTGAGCAGGGTTGGTGAAGGTGTTTTGTGAGAGATTTCCGCGGTCTCGGAAGGCAAGACAGTGACTCTAGGACCCTAAACTAAGCTCCCAGGGGCTCCACAGCTCCCAGATCTGGTCAATGTATTCCCAGAGCCAGTGTCGTATTCAGTCAGGAACGTAAAGTGAAGATCCCAGGGCTAGATCTCATTTTCCTAGAAATAGAAATAGCCCCAGGATCTCAAGAGTATTTCCTAGGGGATAAACAGCTCCTAGAAATGCTTTTGAGATTCCCAGGGCCAACATACTGATTCCCAGAGTAAGTTAACAAGCACGAGAGTTTGTCAGTCTCTTGTCTGTGGCTTTTCTGCCAACAATCCCCGCCTTCACGCGACACGGCTCCACTGAGACGAATCCTTCTCTGTTTCTTTGGTCACCGCCGTTAGGTATCATGAAAACAGAACTTTTATCTACCACTACAGTTTCGAGCTCAGACATTTTCGGAATCAGCGAAGCAGTCAATAGCTACTGGCTATGGTGTATTGATGTCCAGCACTTACGAGATGAAACGGTCGCGTTATACTTCGGAGTTTAACCATCGGTATTTCATTTCTTGCTAATTTGCTTCAAAATTGTATATCACGGCTATAACGGCTATAACCTCTGTTGCTGATCACGATGCCGAGTGTCTGGTCACGTGTACTGGCGTGTGATTCACTCGCTTTTCGCATTTTCCGTCAAACTCGGCTGTAACCTGTGATCACCTACGCTGAGTGGAATTGAGTCGTGCCGATCGGCGAAGCGGTGCAGCGGTGGAAGGTTGTCGCAGTACATGAGTTCCTGCTAGTCTGGCTGAGCGACGGGGCCCACCATCGGGAGATGGATCGCTTGCCGTGTGGACGGAATGTGTCTCGGCATCCGACGAGGGGACTCGTAAGGGGCGAAGGATGGCGTCTAGGGCTCCTTCGTTTCGGCTGCGGTCATCAGTGTCTTGGTCGTCTCAGAAATAAGGTCATCCACACTTACCACACACAGCATGACGTGCCAAACCCTGTATCTCGCTTTTCCAACCATTCTTCGGCGCAGGATAGATGACAAAGCGATGTGCACTGACGGCAGCGCAAGATCACATGTTCGTTCGCATGGTCTTCATCGTCGGCCAGGCAAAACACACAGTGGATGCTTTCGACGTGGATGCTGTCGACCGCTTGGCTCGGCCTGAGACTCTGCAGCGTCAAGTCTTGGACACCCGCCCGGATATTAGCTGCCGATGAGAGGATGGCTGGTCGGGTCGGCGAAACGCGCCATGGAACACTGTTCGTCCGCAGCATTGCAGAAGTCACAAATGGATTGAATGGCTGCACTGGCTCGGGGTTGGTTGACAGGGGCACCGGTGGTGGTGATGACCGGGTGTTGTCTGATGCAGGGCGTTGCCTGGAGGCTGACGATGTCTGACGCTGGCCCCGATGTACAATGACTGACGGAGAAGCCATTCTGGAGCCATGTGGTACTCGCGCCTGGTTGCGGACGGCGGCTTCATACCACTGCTGGCCAACTTGGTCGGCCTGCCGTTGTCGGTGCCATCTCGCGCAGAGGAAGTCTCTGGCGACATCACAGAGCTTCGACTGCAACGATGACAGGTCAAATGGCTCTCTGGCGAGAGAGGTCAACTTTTGATGGCCGATCTTGGTGTCTTCAACTTTGATCGAGTTTTTGCACGGCTCGCCTTTTTTGGTCGTCCCGCAACAAGAGCCAGGACCGCCATTGGGGCTGACCTCTATCTCACAAACAAGAAACGGATTCCAAGGCAGCATGGTAGTTATTGAGGTGGTCGTCAAAGGCAGAAAATGCTTCGGATTGTGGTGGTGTTTGGCAGTCACTGCGGCGTTCCCTCGCCAGCTTTATATGCCATCGCGTGGCTCCTTACCTACATGGCTGCGTGGCTGGCATGGAACACTTCCTTGAAACAGTCGGTACGTCGAAGAATGCATTCACACGCAGTATGCGCCCTATACAGCCGATCAGTGGCCTGCATGAAGGGATATCATTCCAGACCACTGCTGCAATCAGCTGCACTTGTGACTATCCATCGCGGTGACCACGCATTAGCGAACAGACTGACTACTGCGGTGAGCAGCAAAGTCGACAAATGCTACGTTAGGTTGTGGGTTGCTTATGAATTTCGAAGTGCGTGATAGGTTGTGATTTGTTCTTATGGCGCTAGATGCAAGATGCGGGTACGTAGAGATAGATTCAGTTCCCATGCCATCGACACACTACCAGGAACAGTCTTGGCGTTCCCAGGAGCTAGGCTCCAGATGTCCTCCAACTCCGCCTTAACATTGTTGTCAAGGCTTCGTTGCTGCCGTGTGCTTGCTACGCACCTTTCAGCGGAGTGACAGACTACACTCCTAGCTGACCATGGAATTTGGCTGAGGTGAGTATATAAAGGCCTCCCATATCCTACTTTCACAATTCTCACCTCACCCCCATCTACATTTCGTTTGCTCAATCCGCTGTCCCATCATGGTCTGTTCAATTCGTTCTTACGGAGTTCACCGATGAGCTAATACATTACAGCCAAACATCAGAGAGCTGCCCAACGAGCTTTTGCTGTGGATTGTGTCGTATTTGGACGGTAGTGCATTATTTGCCCTCGCAAAATCATGCAAAAACTTTGATTTTAAACTGCAGCCCAGCATCTGGAAGTACAACATCAAATTTCAGAATAGCAATCTGTTGCACTTGGCCGTCAAATACGACAACGTTGGTCTTGCGGAGGCTTTGCTCCAGCACAACGCCAACATCAATGCATTTCACCGAGGCAAAACTCCTTTAATGAGGGCGCTCAAATACTCTTCCGCTGCTGTGCGGGACCTCTTGCTCCGTCGTGGAGACCTAGACATCAACATTCAAAATCAAGCGCGGGAGAGCGCCCTGTGGTATGCCGTCCGCTACGGAAACCTTTCCGCCGTCAAGAGCGTCTTAAATCAACCCAACGTCCAGGTGGAAATCAAGCACAAACACGGCCGAACGGCGCTCCACCTAGCAGTCTTCGCAGGCCGAATAGGGTTCGTGCATCTGCTACTTTCTAGAGGCGGCGACCCTGATCTACAGGATGATTCGGGCCACTCGCCATGGGACCGGGCACGTCGCTTCAATAGACCCGTGATGGAAATGATTTTTTCAAACGATCCGATGGCCAAGGTGTTTCTTGGTACCAAGTCATCACAAGAGGCTGAGCTACCTGTTCACCAATCAGTGGCCTATGGGTCAGTAGAGGCTGTCAAAAGACTTCTCAGGCAAAGAAATCTGGATTTGGACATCCAGAACCGAAAAGGCTCTCGGCGCTCCATCTCGCCGTTCAAAACAACGCTTGGAAATGGTCAATTTGCTCCTAAGTCACCCCCGTGCCAACTTGAACTGCAAAGACAAAGATGGCAATACGCCACTTTGGCTGTCTACTTACTCGTCATGCGACGAGATA